GGGGGGTTTTGAAGAGGGTTGGAATAGTTTTAAAAAATGCGTATTAGAATGTGGGCAAAAAGGGTTTTGTGGTTTAGGAGGGGGGGGCGCGGGAGGAAAGAGGAGTGATTGGGGGAAATTATGAAGTAAAGGGTGTGATAAAAAAGAAAAAAGGGTTTTGCTTTGAGAGGTTTTTACAAAGCAAAAAGTTTTATAAGAAGAGCAAGTATAGGGAGTAAAAGAAAGGTAAAGGAGTGGTGAGAGAGTGAAAAGGAGAGAGATGATAGAGTGGGAGGGCACTGTCAAGAAATTTTAATAAAAAAAAAAAATTTTTGGATGATTTAAACAATTTAAGAAACCCAAAGGGAAAAAATTTGGGATTTGTCAGAAAAAAACAGGTGGGGAGTTAGTAGAGGGGGAGATGGGGGATTGGGTGTGGCGGAATTTTTGAGGAATTTTAAAAGGTTAAGGAAGAAAAGAGGCAGTAATTTCATGCACTGGTCGGGGAGGTTCCCATCTTTTAGGAGTGAAGAAGAGCAAAATGTAAGTGTGGGGGAGGGACGTGAGGATTCTAAAAAAAAATTTTTAAAGCAGCTGGAATGATGGGGTCATGAAGAAATGTTAAAAACAGGGGGGGATTTAGTGTTGGAGTGGTTGGTATTTTGTTTAATAAATGTATGAAAGAGGGGAAGGTCCCTAGGGATTGGCAGGGGGAGATGTATAGTCCCTTTATAAAAAGGGGAAAGGGGACAAAAGAGATTGTAAAAAATTTAGAGGAAAAAGTTATTGAGTATACCGGGAAAAAAATGTTAGGTAGGGGTTATAATTGAAAGAATTAGAGGTAAGACAGAATGTAGGATTGCGGATGAGCAAGGAGGATTCAGAGTGGGTAGGGGATGTGTAGATCAAGTGTTTACATTGAAGCATATATGTGAACAGCATTTAGATAAAGGTAGGGAAGTTTTTATTGCATTTATGGATTTAGAAAAGGCATGTGAGAGAGTGGATAGAGGAGCAATGTGGCAGATGTTGCAAGTATATGGAATAGATGGTAAGTTATTAAATGCTGTTAAGAGTTTTTATGAGGATAGTGAGGCTCAGGTTAGGGTGTGCAGAAGAGAGGGAGAATACTTCCCGGTAAAAGTAGGTCTTAGACAGGGATGTGTAATGTCACCATGGTTGTTTAATATATTTATAGATGGGGTTGTAAAAGAAGTAAATGCTAGGGTGTTCGGGAGAGGGGTGGGATTAAATTATTGGGAATCAAATTCAAAATGGGAATTGACACAGTTACTTTTTGCTGATGATACTGTGCTTATGGGAGATTCTTAAGAAAAATTGCAAAGGTTAGTGGATGAGTTTGGGAATGTATGTAAAGGTAGAAAGTTGAAGGTGAACAAAGAAAAGAGTAAGGCGATGAGGGTATCAAATGATTTAGATAAAGAAAAATTGGATATCAAATTGGGGAGGAGGAGTATGGAAGAAGTGAAATGTTTTCAGATATGTACTTGGGAGTTGACGTGTCGGCGGATGGATTTATGAAGGATGAGGTTAATCATAGAATTGATGAGGGAAAAAAGGTGAGTGGTGCGTTGAGGTATATGTGGAGTCAAAAAACGCTATCTATGGAGGCAAAGAAGGGAATGTATGAAAGTATAGTGGTACCAACACTCTTATATGGATGTGAAGCTTGGGTGGTAAATGCAACAGCGAGGAGACGGTTGGAGGCAGTGGAGATGTCCTGTCTAAGGGCAATGTGTGGTGTAAATATTATGCAGAAAATTCAAAGTGTGGAAATTAGGAGGTGTGGAGTTAATAAAAGCATTAGTCAGAGGGCAAAAGAGGGGTTGTTGAGGTGGTTTGGTCATTTAGAGAGAATGGATCAAAGTAGAATGACATGGAAAACATATAAATCTATAGGGGAAGGAAGGAGGGGTAGGGGTCGTCCTCGAAAGGGTTGGAGAGAGGGGGTAAAGGAGGTTTTGTGGACGAGGGGCTTGAACTTCCAACAAGCGTGTTAGACAGGAGTGAATGGAGACGAATGATACTTGGGACCTGACGATCTGTTGGAGTGTGAGCAGGGTAATATTTAGTGAAGGGATTCAGGGAAACCGGTTATTTTCATATAGTCGGACTTGAGTCCTGGAAATGGGAAGTACAATGCCTGCACTTTAAAGGAGGGGTTTGGGATATTGGCAGTTTGGAGGGATATGTTGTGTATCTTTATATGTATATGCTTCTAAACTGTTGTATTCTGAGCACCTCTGCAAAAACAGTGATAATGTGTGTGTGGTGAAAGTGTTGAATGATGATGAAAGCATTTTCTTTTTGGGGATTTTCTTTCTTTTTTGGGTCACCCTGCCTCAGTGGGAGACAGCCGACTTGTTGAAAAAAAAAAATAAAAAAACACTACATAAGCTAACAGTAACAAACAATAATAAATGCCTTTACTGATTTGCAGATCTCTTGACTATCCTAAGTGAAACAACTGAACAAGTTCACCCATAAACACCTTTTATGAAACTCTAACTTCACTGAACACATGAACCATTTGTAAACTTTATGAAGCTCTTGTTGCACAATGAATCTGCAATGAGTTCCAAAAAAGGAAGCACAAACTAGAAGCCAATTTATGTAGGTGTACCAAGAAACCTTATTCATTATCTATTTAATACACGAAAATGAGGAAAGTTGAATCAAGGTAAGATCATTTACTCAATATAAATTGAATTTCTACATGTTTAAGATTATCTAAGCAAAAGATTAATGTCCAGAGAGAATTCTGGTGCAGTGGTGTTATGTGCTATACACAGACAATGTATGCATGTGCCACTACTATGTTTCAACATACATTCTCAGCTAAGAAAACACTATGAATGAATGCTTTTCAATTGAACACCAGAGATTTTAATCTTAAAATCTCTAACACCTATATACTTTTAGCCTTTTGAAAAGTATACACCTAGACTACACATGAATGAAAGTTTGTAAATGTAATGCCATAAGGTTTTAATCTATATTTATTTAGCTACTATACTTTTAATTTTGAAACAAGAAAAAGAGCAAAACTTTACACTAGAGTTACACCTTGAAAAATAATGTACAGTACAAATAAAATACAATCTAATTAATAACCAACAAATGTCAATTACACGTCTTAAACCGTGGCATCGTGTATAATACTGTACTGCCTTTCACCAGTCAAAAAAAAAAAATGTCCAGAAATTAACACACAAGCAACATCAAGATAAAATCCTTTGGTTTCATTTTGGTTGTCCGAGCCAAGAAGGCCACACTAAACCTTGAGCAGCGTCGACATCAGTGGTCCTACAAGCATGTCCTCCTCCTCCTCCTCCTGAGAGTATGAAAGGCATGATAATACAATCAACTGAGTAAATGGACACATATGAAGGTTTGGGATACAGTAGTCCTCCCCGTATCCATAAGGGATATGTTCTAAGATGTACGTACCACAAATGCCCGAAGCCATGGACAGTAAAGAACCCTATATATATAGTATAAGCCATTGTCGTTTACATGCATACCTATGATAAAGTTTGATTGATAAATTATGCACAACAAGTTGAGAATTAGCATTTTTTCAGTGAAGAAGAACTGCCGGCATCAGTACTTTTGTGCTTTGCGGTCATCATTCAACAAAATTAAGGGTTATTTTCAGGCCATGGTAAGCCGCAGATACGAAGGTTCTACTGTACTTATTACAGGCAATACGAGTGGCTCCAGACTCCCTATACAGGAGAGGCTTACTGGTGACAGTCTGCTTGGAAGAGGAGGCTAGAAGACCAGTCTTGAAGCTGCCTTATTTTTTCATAATTTCAACAGGGGTTGATATTATGGGGGCTTCCACCCCCCCATCTCCCTGGTGTTGCCACTGAGGCCACATTCCAGTCATCAAATAAGTCAATCCTTAATGTACACAAGTGGATAGAGTGAGGACATACACAGAGGACAGGCAAGGTACAAGGACTGGCCTGAATGTAAAGATAGTAACAGAGAAATTTAACACTAAAGCTGTACAAGTAAAGGATAAAAATAGTGTAATAAGGAAAAAACTGTATTTAAGTAATGACTGTGTTGTAAGGTGTCAGGATAATTAACAACATTTAAAAAGTATTATCAAGAATTATCCTCAGTATGGATGGGACAATGCCAAGATTTTTGCCAATGTTGATACCATCAAAATTATCCAATACCCACAGATACCTATACTATCAAGATTAGTTGATACATACCGATATAAATATTCAAATTTAGGCTGATACTGATACTCCAGTTTAGGCCAGTACCGATACCATCAAAATTAACCAATACCAGTACCTCGGCACATCCCTAATCCTGAGGCCCCACAACACAGCCATCCCTTTATAAGTTATTAACGAGTTACTGCATTTTTACAATTTACACTGCTTACCTGTAAAACTTTACTGTTAAGTCTGTCTGTCCATTATTGTCTTGCTTAGGTCTTGCCTTTCCACCTATCCACTGTGTATATCCTCACTCTCTCCAGTTAGGTCAATGACGGCTTGACAAGTCTCCCAGTGAGTGAAACACAGCCTAAGATGATGATTCAAAACATTGCATATGTGTCCATCATCCTCCTCTTTTTTCTAGATAAACTTCATCACAAACTGAGCATGCTATACGGCTGTATTGTGTATGATGGTATTTACAGCAACACACAAATACACAATGCGTAGGGTAAACTTGTACACGTACATTTATGATGATAATATTAACGTATAACAGAGACGTTTTACAATCCACATATCACGTTTATTTTAGTTACCGATTACTCGTCTTTTAGTTTTCATGGTGTGGGGAGAAATTTCCCAGAAGACAGAAAAAATAACTGGGGAAAAACTGAGAGAGTTGAAGGTACTGAGTGACTTAACTGACCAAAATAAACTCTCCCAAGTACTGCATTTCCCTATACCAGTAGTTAGATAAAAAATACAATGTCTTTCTCTCTCTTCTCTAAGTCTAAAAGATTTTGCTTTAGATGAATTAAACTATTTATTGTATTATATAATTTAAAAATTTAACCCATGTCTTCCCTTAACATTATGTAATACTAAATATATATATATTGCATTATGTGCCTTACATTAATTTTTTAAACAAAATGTGATCCTCTTTATTAGACTGTTGCAATATATTTTATTGCTGATATATGCATATTTCACAAAAAATTTCAATAAAACAGCAGGAAGAGGTTCTTAACACTAGGTACTACAAAAATAGAGCCCAATATCTGCATTACCGAACTAGAATAGCAATCACAGTCTTGCCGATGTTAGGTGGAAAAACAAGCTCATAGTGAGGTACAAAATACACTGTAGGGGGGCCTAAAGCAGCTAAGGATAGATATAAAATTATATTATTGTAGGTAAAATGAGCAAGCGCCCAGACTCTGGTTATCACTTCATTATTGTCGCGCGTGTTATTTTGCAGGTAAACTTTAGGCTAAGAACCTGTATCACTACTGAACTACTTTTGAGCTCTGCAATATCACGTTTCACTGTGACCATCTTCCACCACTGACAATGCCGAAGTCATTTTATGAACGATAGTGACCTCTTTCTTTCCTCTTCGAAAATCTTAGCATTTTTCTCTGTTAACATTTCAAGATGAGATTTAATTGCAAGTTTAGTTGATTTCACTCCATTATACTCTACGTGGTAATAGACTGTACCCATAAAGAGAACATACACAAGGAAAAGCATCAAAATGGAGGAGAGTATGCCAAGAGAGATCCGTAACCCTGGAGAGTTGGCTATAGAGAGCGCAACAAGAATGCCCAGTTGAAAGACGATGAAAAGAGTGGCAAGAGTGATGTAGAACCTGCGACTGACAGCCACTTTCTTCAAGCCTTGCTCACACACTGCCGAGCTTTCCAGAAGAGCATCCGTCTCTGCCTGAATCTCTGTGATCGACTCTGTGTTTTCATCCTCTGCAAGAGACAAAAGATATGGAAACAGATTGCAAAGGAAAATATGGTACAGTGCTCAGTAATAACCCACATGGAGACAGAAACTCAGAGATTAATTGACTTGTATATTTCGACCCCCTTGTGGGATTCTTTTCAGGAGAAGAGGATCCCAGAAGGGGATCGAAATACAGCCACTCCTTACTTAGCAACATACTCATTTACCGATGACTTGGACTTACGACAGGCTCTCTGACCAGTACTTTCTTTCTTTCAACACACCGGCCATATCCCACCAAGGCAGGGTGGCACAAAAAAGAAAAACGAAAGTTTCTCTTATTAAATTTAGTAATTTATACGGGAGAAGGGGTTACTAGCCCCTTGCTCCCGGCATTTTAGTCGCCTCTTACAACACGCATGGCTTATGGAGGAAGAATTCTGTTCCACTTCCCCATGGAGATAAGAGGAAATAAACAAGAACAAGAACTAGAAAGAAAATAGAAGAATACCCAGAGGGGTGTGTATATATATGCTTGTACATGTATGTGTAGTGTGACCTAAGTGTAAGTAGAAGTAGCAAGACATACCTGAAATCTTGCATGTTTATGAGACAGACAAAAGAGACCAGCAATCCTACCATCATGTAAAACAATTACAGGTTTTCGTTGTACACTCACTTGGCAGGACGGTAGTACCTCCCTGGGTGGTTGCTGTTTACCAACCTACTACCTAGGTTGACCAGTACTTATATCCTAAATAATGTATATTGGAGCTGATTTCCTCTATTCTTTTTATTACAATATGCAGTACACTACTGAATAATCATTTAACAATATACTAAAAATGTTATAATGGTGCAAAGGTGACATTAAAACAATATCAAAGATGGTGGACACAAACCCACTACCATTATAGTGTGCTCCTCACTAAGCGATGAATTCGTTTACCAAAGTGGTCTTAGAAACGGAATTCCATCATTAAGTGAGGAGAGGCTGTATACAAATCAATGAATCTTTTGAGTTTCTGTCTCCACGTGGGCTATTAATGAGGACAACAAGTGTTCATTACAATTTAGTTATTTATATGGTATAGCATATACAGGAACTCATCTCATAAAATGCAAGCTACACTCCAGAATACTGGTGCAGAACATACAATAGTGTTACAGGAATTGAGGTACACATGGCAGTTTGGAGGGATATGTTGTGTATCTTTATACATATATGCTTCTAAACTGTTGTATTCTGAGCACCTCTGCAAAAACAGTGATTACGTGTGAGTGTGGTGAAAGTGTTGAATGATGATGAAAGCATTTTCTCTTTGGGGATTTTCTTTCATTTTTGGGTCACCCTGCCTCGGTGGGAGACGGTCGACTTGTTGGAAAAAAAAAAAAAAGGTTACAGTGCCACAAAACAATTTATCATCATTTTACATCAAAAATATAGTACTACAGCCTCTCCTCACTTAATGACAGAGTTCCACTTCTAAGACCACATCAGTAAATGAATTTGCCACTAAACAAGGAGTATACTATATTGGTAGTGGGTTTGTGTTAACCATCTTTACTATTGTTTTAATGTCACCTTTGCACCATTATAACATTTTTAGTATATTGTTAAATGATTATTCAGTAGTATATTGTACATTGTAATAAACAGAATAGAGGAAATCAGCTCTAATATCCATTAGTTAGGTATGCAGACTGGTCAGAGAGCCCGACGTAAGTCCGAGGCATAGGTAAATAAGTACGTCGCTAAGTGAGGAGAGGCTCCATATAAAAGGAGAAATAAAACAAAGAACTGTGGAGTAGTCTTCCTTTGATGTCAAACTTCACCATTCTTCTTTGTACTGGACTGATGAAGTCACTGTGTGGCAAAATACTTCCTCGGTAAAGATACCCAAGTGTTGCACATGTGTCTAATTTATCAACTTGTTGGTTCTCTGGACCATATATCTGCATACCAGCATTCCTGTTGGGTGTCGTATTTACTATCCAGATATCAGATATATTTTTTTTATTTATTAACACATTGGCCATTTCCCACCAAGGCAAGGTGGCCCAAAAAAGGAGAAACACTTTCATCATCATTCACTCCATCACTGTCTTGCCAGAGGCACGCCAATACTACAGTTCAAAAACTGCGACATATCTCCACCTCTCCTTCAGAGTGCAGGCGCTGTGCTTCCCACCTCCAGGACTCAAGTCAAGCTAACTGGTTTCCCTGAATACCTTCATGTTATTTTGCTCACACTCCAACAGCATATAGTGATGAAAATATCCAAAATAGTGATAGAAGAGAAGGATGTTTCCAGCAAGTAAGCAATGGCGGCTCGTAGCGCTAGTAATACCTATACTATCACACCACATCAAACTTTCATTTTTAATAATTTTTTATCTCGTTTCAACAAAAAATTAAAAATTCGCTTATAAACACATTGAAAACACCATTTTTTTTTTTAACAAGTCAGCTGTCTCCCCACCGAAGCAGGGTGACTCAAAAAGAAAGAAAATCCCCAAAAAGAAAATACTTTCATCAACATTCAACACTTTCACCTCACTCACACAATCACTGTTTTTGTGGAGGTGCTCAGAATACAACAGTTTAGAAGCATATATGTATAAAGATACACACAACATATCCCTCCAAACTGCCTATATCCCAAACCCCTCCCATTTCCAGGACTCGAGTCCAGCTATATAAAAATAACCGGTTTCCCTGAATCCCTTCACTAAATATTACCCTGCTCACACTCCAACAGCTTGTCAGGTCCCAAATACCATTCGTCTCCATTCACTCCTGTCTAACACGCTCACGCACGCTTGCTGGAAGTCCAAGCCCCTCGCCCACAAAACCTCCTTCACATTATTTTGAACAATAACAGTATGATACTAATTTTCAATTCCCATTTTGTATTTGATTCCCCATAATTTAATCCCACCCCTCTCCCTAGCATTTACTTCTTTTAGAACCCCATCTACAAATATATTAACCCTTAAACTGTCTAAACATAGATCTACGTTCACGTGCGTAGCACTCCGACCTTGATTTACCCCATTTGAAAGCATGTAAAAAAAAAACGCAGATCTACGTTCAGAGCCTGCCGCACATCAACGTATATCTACGTGTGGACAGCTTAAGGGTTAAACAATCATGGTGACATTACATCATACAACAGATTTTTCGTGTAATATATTTGTCAGTTGCAAATTATTTTAGCATAAGGTTGATGAAGTCATACGTCCGGCAGTGAGCATCTAGGGGCCTGCAGCTCTGCAGCTCCTATGGACGAGCTGCCACTGCATGTAAGTGGGTTGCTTGGCCACCATGCGTATACATGTACTCTGGTGACAGACACAACTGCAGCCTAATATGGTCCTCTACTGACGACGTTTTTGCCCACATGTTCAGCTTTATCGAGCCACAAACTTGATTTGATAAAGCTTGCCATGCAGGTGAAATATAGTTAATAAAACAACTGCATTATACTGCGTCTGTTTCTCTTACCACCATGTAGGTAATTTATACCATTTTTCTCCAGGTGAATATCCCTCTTGAAAAAACTCAATGTGCATAAATAATGAACGAAGGCAGTAGCCCACTGGAGATGTACTATGCGACATACATTAAAAATTTGAAATGACTTTTAACAATATCCATTAAGAGAGGAACAAACTGGATGACATTTAACTGACCTTTGACGGGAGTGACTGTGAGAATTGTACGGAGAGCCTCATGGTCTGAGAAACTAAAATCTTGCTGTGGTACTCTCTGTGGCCAAGGCTGGTCACACACTTTGGTTTTAACCTGAAAAAAAATTCTCGCATGAATCTTATGCTCGAATCTGGAGAATAGTGGAGGAGAAACCAAGCTCTGATTTACACTAAGTTACCAATAGTCAAAATGAGCTTACAGGTAATATTAGAAATCATCAACTTAGGGTCATTTCTGACATCTGTACCAGAGCTCAGACCAAACTGAAGCCTTGACTAACACTGACCCAATGGTAAGCAAAGTACCTTGGACATAATCATGAAAAAACTTCTCTTTCTGCATCATCCTGTTGCTCATAATCCCCCCCCCAAAAAAAAAAAAATAATATATATATATATATATATATATTATATATACACGTGTATAATATATATATATATATATATATATATATATATATATATATATATATATATATATATATTATATATAATATATATATATATTATAGGTAGTAGGTTGGTAGACAGCAACCGCCCAGGGAGGTACTACCGTCCTGCCAAGTGAGTGTAAAACGAAAGCCTGTAATTGTTTTACATGATGGTAGGATTGCTGGTGTCCTTTTTTCTGTCTCATGAACATGCAAGATTTCAGGTACGTCTTGCTACTTCTACTTACACTTAGGTCACACTACACATACATGTACAAGCACATATATACACACCCCTCTGGTTTTCTTTCTATTTTCTTTCTAGTTTCTTATTCTTGTTTATTTCCTCTTATCTCCATGGGGAAGTGGAACAGAATTCTTCCTCCGTAAGCCATGCGTGTTGTAAGAGGCAACTAAAATGCCGGGAGCAAGGGGCTAGTAACCTCTTCTCCTGTATATATTACTAAATGTAAAAGGAGAAACTTTCGTTTTTCCTTTTGGGCCACCCCGCCTCGGTGGGATACGGCCGGTGTGTTTGAAAGAAAGAAAGAAGATATATATATATATATAATATATATATATATAATATATATATATATATATATAATATATATATATATATATATATATATATGTAGGTAGTAGGTTGGTAGACAGCAACCACCCAGGGAAGTACATACCGTCCTGCCAGATGACTGTGAAACAAAAACCTGTAACTGTTTTGCATGATGGTTAGGATTGTGGTTATTCTTTTTCTGTCTCATAAACACGCTAGATAACAGGGATATCTTGCTACTCCTACTTACACTTTGCTCACACTTCACAGACACGCACATGCAATATATATATATATATATATATATATATACATACATCTAGGTTTTTCTCCTTATTCTAAATAGCTCTTGTGTCTTTTTTATTTCTTCTATTGTCCATGGGGAAGTGGAAAAGAATCTTTCCTCCGTAAGCCATGCGTGTCGTATGAGGCGACTAAAATGCCGGGAGCAATGGGCTAGTAACCCCTTCTCCTGTATACATTTACTAAAAAAGAGAAGAAGAAAAACTTTATAAAACTGGGTTGTTTAAATGTGCGTGGATGTAGTGCGGATGACAAGAAACAGATGATTGCTGATGTTATGAATGAAAAGAATTTGGGATTCCTGGCTCTAAGCGAAACAAAGCTGAAGGGGGTAGGGGGAGTTTCAGTGGGGGGAAATAAATGGGATTAAATCTGGAGTATCTGAGAGAGTTAGAGCAAAGGAAGGGTAGCAGTAATGTTAAATGATCATTTATGGAAGGAGAAAAGAGAATATGAATGTGTAAATTCGAGAATTATGTGGATTAAAGTAAAGGTTGGATGCGAAAAGTGGTCATAATAAGCGTGTATGCACCTGGAGAAGAGAGGAATGCAGAGGAGAGAGAAAAGATTTTGGGAGATGTTAAGTGAATGTATAGGGCCTTTGAACCAAGTAGAGAGTAATTGTGGTAGGGACCTGAATGCAAAGTAGGAGAAACTTTTAGAGAGGGTGTGGTAGGTAAGTTTGGGGTGCCAGGTGTAATGATAAATGGGAGCCCTTTGATTGAACTTTGAAATAAAAGGGGGGTTTTTAGTTATAGGTAATACAATTTTAAGAAAAGAGGATAAATAAGTATACACGATATGATGTAGGGCGAAATGACAGTAGTTTGTTGGATTAAAGGTATTGGTAATAAAAGACTGTTGAGTAGACTTCAGGAGTACATGTTTATCGAGGGGGCCACAGATATATCAGATCACTTTCTAGTTGTAGCTACACTGAGAGTAAAAGGTAGATGGATACAAGGAGAATAGAAGCATCAGGGAAGAGAGGTGAAGGTTTATAAACTAAAAGAGGAGGCAGTTAGGGTAAGATATAAACAGCTTTTGGAGGATAGATTTGGGGTAATGAGAGCATAGGCAATGGGGGTCGAAGAGGAATGGGGTAGGTTTAAAAAAGTAGTGTTAGAGTGTTCAGCAGAAGTTTGTGGTTACAGGAAAGTGGGTGCAGGAGGAAGAGGACGAATTGGTGGAATGATGATGTAAAGAGAGTAGTAAGGGAGAAAAAGTTAGCATATGAGAAGTTTTTTACAAAGTAAAGTGATCAAGGAGGGAAAGTATATGGAGAAAAAGAGAGAGGTTAAGAGAGTGGTGAAGCAATGTAAAAAGAGAGCAAATGAGAGAGTGGGTGAGCTGTTATTTAACAAATTTTTGTGAAAATAAGAAAAAGTTTTGGAGTGAGATTAACAAGTTAAGGAAGCCTAGAGAAAAATGGATTTGTCAGTTAAAAATAGGAGAGGGTTTTAATGGAGAGTTAAGTATTGGAAGATGAGGAATATTTGAGGAATTGTTAAATGTTGATGAAAATAGGGAAGCTGTGATTTTTGTGTA